TATCAAGGACTCTAGAACAAGCCACCCGGCTTCTTTTCTCTCTCTTACTGGCTACGAAGACAAATTGGTGCTCGACGCACATTACGAGATAGTTCGCAACAGGATGGCCGGTGTTAATGAGAAGAGAGAATACATTGAAGGCTCAAACCCAGACAGCGTATCGCTAAACCTAGTGGTATTCAACTGGGGAAATATGGATCGAGCGCCGGTGCCCGCAGGGAATCCCAAAAAGAAGCTCAAACCTGAGAAGGGATTCGATTATCACCCTCTTATTGACATGTGCTTCAACAATTCAGCTCATATTACCCTCGTACTCGAGGCAGGAGCACTTGCGTCAGAGTATTCAATCGCAACCATGCGAAAACACGAATACAGGGGGATGCTAATCCACTCTCCTCCCAAGGAGCCTGAGGCACCCTCAATGTATATTGGAGTCAAGGGTGACCCAACAACAGACATCGCTCTCGTCCACCACTTTTACCGTCATCGAACAATGAAGCCTAAGAATGGTGGTCCCAAGAAGCGACTGTGGGCATGCCACGGTGCGGTATGCCGCCTCACCTTTTGGGTACCACAGTACCATCCAGGAGGCAAAAGAATGGGTCCACCCATATTCTGGCCAAAGGATGACGAGAGACGAGTTCATGCAGATTATCGGATATGACCCACTCAAGGGCAAAAATCCTGACAAGGATGGACCCACTGATGGCTCTTACCTCTCACCAGAGGCGTGCCTGACACTGTCGAACCTCGACCCCTCGCCGATTCTCTGTGAATGGAACGGCCATGTCGAGGGTGATGAGCCACCAGAGGAAGACTTTGAGTCATACGCAGAGATCTTCTCACAAGAAGCATCGAACGATCTTGACGAGATGTGGTGTACAAAAGGGCCTTACAAGGTCATCACCATCGCGATCGTCCATTTCAACTCGTTCATGACTCATAAGGAAGAACAGAGACGCGAACTGGTGAACGCGTTCCTCAACGAGGTTCTCCCCTTTAAACCGGATGTAATAGCGGGAGATCTCAATAATATTGCGTCGAGGCTCACCTTAAAAGGTGGAGACGTTCACCCGCGAAACAGTTTGTTTTCTCTATACCTGGAGAAGAAACTTGCAGCATTCAACAAAATAGCAGGAAGGCACTCACAAGTGCGACATCTTTGCTTGAACAACTCCGACCAGCACAGACTGGCACGTGCAGATCGTCTACCGGCGGACCCGGCGAAGAAAGTTGCTGACCTTGACTGTATCAACAGCTATATCCTTGACTGGAGTAAAACGCCGCACACGGCGTCACCTAGTCCAAGAGATGTTACACCTGCCGCCGAAAGAACATACTGGGAGCGAATCTCAGATATGTGGCAGGACATGAACAATAACAGGGATATTGATATCCGTCTGTTTGTCTCAGTCAAGCAGTACTATTCAACTTTTTCTAACCTTGACCTATGGTTGAGTCCCTCTGACAAAGATTGGCACAGCCCTTTGGGCTTCACGATACAACCAATCCTTACAAAAGGGAAACACAACCGGTCAGATGCCCAGGTCCAGAAGATCGCTGACAAGCGAAAGGCTTACAAGCAGCGTAATGCTGAATACTGGGGTTACAACGATTCATTCGTTTACTCATCCGGCAACAGCTGGTACGACAAATCGCAACCATCAGGTAGCCATCACAGATACGGAAGATTCTGGGAGTGGCCACAGCCTGAACGTCCCAGCGAGCCTGAAGGTCCTCCTCCAAGAAGGAACCAGGAATCATCTTCCTCTTCACAACAAGATCTACCAAGATCAAGGTCCAGGCCTCAAAGAACCAATATTGTTGACAAGCTCAACATGTCTTTGGAAGAGCTGGATGGACTAGAAGAAGAACCGTCACCAACAAAAAGTGACATCGAAGAACACGAAAGAGAAACATCAAACTTGATGTCTGCTCAGAGAGATGAAGAGGAACAAGAGGACGAATCCTCCAGCCGGAGAAGAAGAAGGAAGGCATCGCGTCCACCGTCTGCTCCGAGCGGCAAGGCACTCAGAACAGCTGCTACAGCAGCGGGATTGTCGGGCTGGTTCGGACACCGCAACCGAGGTGGAGCAAACGCAGAGTCTATCAAGACTGATGAAACTTCACTTCCAGACTCACTAACCAGTGAGCAAGACTTCTCCGTCTTCAGCATTGCGTGGAATGTGTTCTTGCTGCTAATGGGCTTACACTGGATGTGGAAGCAGATTACCAGGCCTCCTATCAGATGTATGGAGCGCCAACAACCAAAATCAAAAGCAGCAGCGAACCAAAGAGTTCCATTCCTCGAACCCGAGGATGAACCGCAGACGCGTGAACCTTTAGGACCCAACAGGGTCAATTCCGGAGAAACAACTGATCTGCGACCTATCTGGCATACTTCCCGAAGCGAAGTCTACCATCTCTCAGACAGCTGTTACCAGCTCAAGCAAGCAAGAGATGTTTGCAGGAAGGTGCTGTGCAAAAACTGCCTCCATGCAGTACAAGTTGCGGAGATTCGCAGGAACGATCCTTTCCAAAGAGGTGATACACGACCACGTGGCACCGAAAGAGACATTGAGCGCTTCCAGACCTACGATGATGCAAGTAACACTCCTCACATGACACAATTATTCAAGGATGCCTTGCATGCACAAATGGCCGAAGAAGCCATGCAGATTACCTATACATCGATCCCCAAAGGATCCTCGGCAAAGGCCAGAGGTACATCTGCACTCTCAAGTGCCGCATCGTCATCAGCGCCCAAGGCAATGCCACCAGGGCCTAACAAGGCAAACATGTCACCTCCACCTAAGAGTCCTCCGCCAAAGGCGAAAGGAACAGTACCTTCAGATCCTCCGAGACCAAAAGGTCCTACCAGAAGAGGAGGTCAAAATCGGCGCATTCAACGAAAGGCAGCTAGAGAAGCCCACAACAGTGGACTCTGCACCTATGCAGACGCTGCACTTGACGAAGCCAATCAAGGCCAGGCAATTAACGTTACGTGCCGAAACATAGTAGCAAGACACGTCAGCTCTATCGATGCAACGGTAGAAGCAGCCGGCCATTTTACACAACGCGTGCTACAGCACGTAGAAACATATGATGAAGAGGAACCGTGGAGCACGGAGTTCCTACCAGTCGTGGAAGTCCTATTCAGGAACTTAAGCGGCGACGAAACAACTGTCATACATGACAATCAAACGGTAACTATGCCTCTTGCGAAATACACAGACCTCCTCAGAATCGCACAAGCATTGCGAGGCTCTATCCAGAGAGACAAGGAGGAAAGAAAGGAACATCTTGACACCATCCAAGATACTCTATCCAGAGTGGAAATCCTTCTAACAGCACTGAAGGACTCAAGGACAGTCTTTAACCAATTGGTCCATTCCTCACTAGAGATAGAGCGAAGAAATAACAATCTCAAAAATGTCCTCGAGACACTCTTTGACGACCAAAGCTCTGAGGAAGACCAGTCAGAATCTGACAATGAAGAAGTCCTAACTCCTTCTGCACCACAGTACTGGAATAGCCTTTATGCCCACGCCTTATCTCCTTCAGGAGATGAAAGTGAAAGATCATGGGCGTCCTCAGACGGACAGCTTGAAAGAAGAAGGGCTGAACGGGCAAAGGCTAAGCAGCCCCAACCGGCAAAAGCCAAGGCAACTCCAGTCAGCTCACAAGCTGCTCCAAAGGCCGAGCCAAAGGCGACAACATCCAACCATGGATATGATACTGCAGACGCCGCCTTCACCAGGGCTGAGAACAGATTACTCGGAATCTTTTCAAGTTCCGAAGAAGACCACTCAGACCCGGATGAGCCACATCCGAACGTCTACGCTCGAGCCTATGATCCAAACCTGGATCCAAATCTGAGATAAGAGAATCTCAGAGTTTCACAACAGTGACTCACAAAGCTCTAGCAAGAGCAAGGTGAAAGGCTGCATAATTCGATGTAGAAAACATCACCAGACATGATCTTGTACAGATGATCTCTCTGACCAACATGCATGAGTGTGTGTGCAAAATGAGTGGAGTGTCCTCAGCAGTGTACTTCAGTGCTATACCTAGCATAAATAATATGCTGTTTTTATAATGAGTCCAAACTCCGCAACTGTGACAGTGGGCATAACAGTATATGTGTGAATGTGCGGCCATGCTTCCGGTAAAAGAAAATTAGTGTCTGTTTGAAACCATAAACCTCTAAAGGGGTAGCTCTAACAGGTACCTACAGCAATGGCTGCATGCTCATACATATACATTCCGCTGCCCATTGGCTCACAGTGGTTTTACCATATTGAGACAAGACAAGCTCTCCTTGCGTAGCAAGACAAAACAACTACTGTCCGTGTGCAGGGCGCTGCCCTTTGATCCTTAGGGAATAACTGGTCATACACCTCCTCACAAGGAGTATCCCTTGGGGGTGTATCGGCACAAGGGGAGGGGGCGAGGGGGGAGGGGGGGAGAGGAGGGAGAGCGCAAAAAACGGTGTCCCCAAACATTTGGATTGCAGGGAGGAGGAGGGTACCTGAGGTAACCGTCAAGACGCCTGGGCCTCTGGCCTCGGCGGATGTGGGCATCATCTCCTGAATGACAAGACTAAGAATACAAGAGCCAATGTTCTTATATCCTCAGGCACTGTGGCTTTGGCGACCGGTGCTGCTTACCACCTGCACAGACAGTGTGCCGAAACATTCGGAGATTCCAGACTCGTCGAGAATTGCCACCAGCACGGGCGAGATTTGTTGAGGAACGCAAAACACGAGAAGTTCGGCCTCATTAGCATTTTCGCGAACACTTTGAGGTGCGGTGCTCTCGAAGAGCGAGGAGTTCCTACAATCAAAGCTTCAAACGCAGAGAAAGTCACGCAACACACGTGGCTGCTCCGGAAACCAGTCGTGAAGAGTATGACGTGCCGTGGATTCAAACTCCCTCTGCACATCCAGAACATGATGCTTCGCAAGAAGGCTGACCACACGTGGCCATCACCAACCCCGATGGGCCTGTTCGAGTCCGTTGCGGCAACTGCCGCTTCCAGAATTGTTGGCCTTTCTTTCTGCAAATGATGTGTAACTCTGATTTGATGGCTACAATAATTAACCGGGAACCATGTTTGTATCTAGGCTGAAATGAACAGGCATAGCGGCATCACAAATCCTCTTGATGATGTAGTAAAACCCGCATACACCCTAAACTCCAAAGTCAAAACCTTAGATGCCAAAACCCAACATACAATCTGATGTCGTTCAGCAATGCAACTGGCTTCTTAGGAGTGGGTGTTCCATTTTTTCAGCGACGAACCTCCGGGGTGCTCTGTGAACGATGCTTGGATTGCTTCGCTTGTCAAATCGGGTGACTTCTTGGCACAGCAAAGCACAGGACGGCTGGTCATGGTGGTGGCCGCTGCTCGTTTTGCCTGCCTCGTTTGGGAAGTCACTGTGCAGCACGATCAGAACGGCGAGTCGTGTTTCCTGTGCAAGCCAGATGGGAACGCTGTTCATTGGCAGTTTCTTGTTGACGTGCAGGATTGGCTGTTGGTACCTGCCACGCCGATTCTGCTGAGCGACAAGGGGCCAATCGCATGGAAACGATCGGCCGATGCCATGTCTTTGCCTCAAGCTCTATGTTTGCAAGGCTGTGCCATCAACAAGGAGCAGTTGCTGCAGCTGATCAAGCAACTGAATGGGACTCCCCCCAAAGGGGCCAGTAAGCGAAGACTGCAGGAGTTTCTCATCGAGCACGTCCTTTCGCCGGCCGAGCAAGCGGTGGCTTTGCAGCAATTTCAGACTGCAACTTCGGCAGAGTGGGAGGATGAGGTCGACAGCCAATTTTCCGAGATCATCAGCGAGCTCGATAAAGATGAAGCCAACTCCGGAGACATCAAGGAGTATGTCAACATCAAGAAGAAGGGCCAGCTGCAGCTGAAAAGGAAATTCAAAGCTGCAGACCAGGAGCTAAAGGAGCTCAAAAAACAAGCTCGCTCTCGAGGGCGAGGAAAAGGCCGTGGAAAGGGCAGTGGCAAGGGAGCGAAGGCAAAAGCAAAGGCAAAAGCAAAGGACAAGGGTCTTAGCTTCTTCGAAAGGTCTTTGCGACGACAACGCAACAAGGCTGCTGGTGCTGGAGCAGCTCCGGCAGAGAATGCAGGGCCGGCAGAGATCCATGCTGAGCCTTCTCGAGAGGAGGTTGTTGGGCCTCCATTGTTGGATCAGGCCAAGCCCTCGTCGAGCTCCCGTCCTGAAGGGACTGGCGAGCCCGCCGCATCGTCGAGCTCTCGTGCTGCTGGGCCTGGCGAACTCGAGCCACCCGCACAGGTTCTTCCTGGCCTTGCACAGCCGGCGGAAAGAGCTAGCTTTATCAAAGTCAACAAAAGCCCCGACGAGCTCTTGGGCAGGTTGGCGCCACCACGGTGCACATTCGGACTGAATCATCAGGATCGACGTTGGACATCGCAGTTCAAGTTCGACACCTCCCACGCCCCTTATCCTTACAGCCAGAGGACCAAGAGTCGTTCCTTTGCAAAGGAGTGCAGTTGGCAGGAGGCTTTGAGGGAGGTGCACGCATGGAATTGGAGGAAGTGGTCTCACTTGAAAAATGAGGCACCGTTGGAAGCAGGTGATTCCGAACAGATTCCCGGCCAAATGCCTGCCGATGTCATGCAAGACTTGCAGGTGGTGGTGGACAAATTGCCAGAGATGAAGAAGTACGGCAGAAAGTAGAAAAACAGTCCGTGTCAGTGTCATGCAAAGTAAAGTGAGTTGCTCACTTCCTCTCTGCACCTTCCGCTTCATTGCTAAGATGTCTGCTGCTTCGTTTCAATTTCCCTGGAGTTCTGAATGCTCCTGACCTGCTGGCAGGTTCTCCGGCCGGCTGACAGCTCACTCGCGAGCTCGACAGAAATCAAAACTGGAGGGGAGACGGCTGAGGGTTCAGGCTTTACGGTTTAGGCTGAGGGATTTTCAAAGGCAGAACCCTGCAGCCCCATATTTTATGCTCACCTGAAGCAATAAACTACAACCCCAGCTTCTTGGATATTGTTGATGGACAAAATCCTGCATGACCCTAAGGACTCTAAACTATGGGAACTCTGGTATATTCCGTATAATGGGTAATGCAGGATTTTGTCTATCAACAGTATCACAGCTTCGCTTGACACGGGCTTCTCGGCGCAGTGAAGTCTAGGATATGTTTAGCTTTGACTAGCTTCTCTTAGCTTTTGCTAGCTTTTCATAGTTCCCTTTAGCTTCTCCTAGTTTTCCATAGCTTCCTTAAGTTTCCTTGAAAATCCCTGGAAATACTGTGGTTGTCCCGCGATGCTGAAGGGGCACCACTTAAGCGTGTACCCCATCCCCCTCAATGAGGTTTCTCGGTGGGTGGTTGATGGATGGGTGGGGCGGTTAGGTGGCTGGGTGAGGGTGGGTGGGTGTGAATCAGGGGTGCGGGAATTGGTTGGGGGACCGGTTGGTGGTGGGTGGTTTGGGGGGGTGGCGGGGTTGTCATGCAGGAATGGTCCCTGATGCATGCGACTTTTATCGATGCTGCTCTTTGCTTCATGACCCATCCAGTCAGAAGTCCTAAGTCTTTCTAGGAACTTCACACGGCCACCGGGCCCATGCCCCTGTGCCACCGCATCAACCATGGAGTTCGTCGTGTTCTTGAAACTGTAAGTGGATTCAGAATCACTAGATGTCAGATTGTTTTGGTTAAGACTCGAATCCATGGGGATGTCACGATCAGAGCCATCGCTACGTTATGAAATCCGTTATTCCGTCTCACTGCTTACTGCGACAATCCGTCCTCTCGGATCTGGGCGAGCGGGATCGCTTTCCTTCCCCATCGAAGTCAGAGTCGGACTCGTCACCGCCTGGAACGTGCGAAGTTGGGGTCGCACAAGGTTGCGGTGATGAAACCAAGGCTCGGGCTGCGTGCGGGAGAGGTCGCGGTGAAAACGAGCGTCGGGGACGTGGGATGCAAACTCTCCTGTCAGAGATGCGCATTTCACTGACTGAACAACTGACAAATGAACTGTCGGGCCAAGCTTACTGTCCTTGAGCTTCTCTTGTCTGCTGCGCCGAGCTCGCAGGTTCCTGTTCCTGCAAGCGGAGTCGTAGCCGGAGCCGCAGGACCTCATCCTCTTTCCTTGCCAGTGTTTGTCTCCAAAGCTCCGTTGCAGTGAGGACTTTCTGTTTGTAGTTCATCTGTGCATCCTCGAGCTTCTTCATCCTGTTCTTGAACTTGTTTGTCATGTCCGTGTGGGCTTTGGAAACCTTCTCGTCGAACTTTTTCTTGTTCTCTCCTTTCTCTTTCGCCATCTGTGCCTGGTGCTCGGCGTTCACCTCTTTGATTTTGTTCTCACACATGGCAGTCAGTACCTTCATCTCCTTCT